GGAACTGAGAGGAACGCAATTTGGCTTGGTGGGGGCACAAAATGGTACTCAGCTATGTTTGTACAGGCTACCTTAAGACATGTACATTCCTAAGAACAAAGTGATTCGCTCGCATCATTCTTCACAGGGAGGTTCTGACCAAGGTGAGCCCTGTGAAGAACTAATGTAAGGAACTAGCAAAAGTGCAAAATGCTCCCCTCCAAGCCGAACTGTGCCAAAAAGTGTCGCGTGGCTATTCAATTCAGTACCTGCAGCGACGATCGTGTCTAGCGTAGGAAATCGCCGTCTGACTCGCATACTTACGTCTCGAAAGACAAGCACCTGAACGTCATCATGACCGGGTTTCTCTTTGAGAAAATATCACTGGGTTTCTCTTTGAGAAATATCATTCAGCAAATGGGAAATCCGCATCATTTTTCCAACACGGCCATTTTGGTATTCACTTTCGACACTTAAGTAAACAGTTTCTATGAACGATATCTACGGCAAAACCAGTCCTTGAACATTCATGACCTTGCGGAGGTGTGATTACATAATTTGTTCACGGGCGTTTTGAATATGAGGTTTACGGTTCTTTCGAAACCGATCAGCATACCAGCTATCTGTGGAGTTTTTCAAAAAGTTTTGCGAGCGCAAAGTCAATGTACAAGTAAAACTGACCTGAACTAATTCGCAATAGCGGAGAATGTTTCGCCTGTACATTCGAGCTTGTTCAGATCTTCCTCGGACGTATAAGGCAGACATTAGACCAATGATGAAAAGTAAAATGTTTAAGGAATGTAGTGTACCGTGTTCATGAATTCCTTCAGAATACGCCAGACGGGGCAAGTCGTACGTTGGGGAAGGGATGGAGGAGGGTCGTATTTGGTAGCTATGGTGTAGAGTTTATATCCGATCAGAGAAAACGTGTCCGAATGTTGGTTTTTCCCAGTCCACGCGCGCCATACACACCCATGGTCGTCGGCTCGAAACCATCTGTTTCAGTGATTCACTGGAGGCGTTTGCCCCCCGCCCCCTTACCTCTTTTTGACAGTAAAATTCTAGACATTGGAAAAGACGGTCTATCGGATGTGAGAGGGGGTCGTACGGATAAGATAATTGTCTTGAGGCTTGTAGATCTGTAAACACTTGTGAAGCTAAGTAGTAGCAGTAGTTCGTTTGCACTTGACAAGAGTTTACAAGGTGAGACGTGTGAATCGAGAAGGGACCGTAATAGCATTTAGCAAACTAAGAAAATGCCACCCCTTAAGTTGAACGACGCTTGCCTTCTAAAGATAAATAAATCGCATTCAACCCCGTTCGCATTCCATTTCATATTACCTTTTTTTTCTTATATCAACTGCGTGGCGTATCCTTCGAGAGCAACTGATGTACTTCTTATAATTGAATTTGTACGTACTTGTCGATAAAGCCAATCGTATCGTACTGCTTATTCCATCTGTTGAACACCTGAGTGCAGAAAAAGCCAAGTACAAGTTCCAGCGGGATGTAGTCGAGCCGGGCATCGAAATATCTCACGACTCTTTCGAAATTCCTGCAAATTAGTGTCGGTTAGAGTTCCAACATTTGCAGATGGCGTAAATCTTCTCTGCCTAGAATAAGGTGAAGACTGCAAGCATTGCCGCGCGGTCGCGCAGCGGTTGAAGGATCAACACCTATCAGGGAGATTCGCTTTGTCAGAGATTTTCGATAATGTTCATTGACTTTCCTTTTTTCAAGCAGGACCTTGGCAGTGTCATCGCTACTGCCGCAACGCAACCGCACGCAAGGCAATGTGCATCGCTCAGCCCCCTTTTCTCTTTTTGGTACAGTTGTCAGAAATGACTTACAGTTGTTGCGATTTGCTGAGAGCACAGCGATAGATGACAGAAATGATCCCATAGATGATCAAAAAGCATATAAGCTCCATGTAGACGGCTTTCCATATGCTACCTTTCCATTTGAAAAGTAATTTGAAGAATGTCCATGGCCTACTTGTTGAAGCGGCTCTGTGGTAATTGACAGTCATTCGGGATACCTAACTGAAATAGTCATAAATTAGTAGTTTTGTTTCGATAATTATCAGACAGCCATATTAGAGGGTGTGTTGCTAGTGTATGTC